TCCCAATATTTCGGCTGTATTTTTACAGGAAGCAGTTCAAGGTCGCCGCTGACCACCACGCTCTGTGTTGGCTTGCTAGCCTGACCCGTCCTGCACTTCTTACTTTCTGGCAATGTTCTTGGAGTCTTACATTAAGGCACCTGCATGACTGACCTACGTACTCAAGTCCACAAGACAGAGGTACACCGAAAACAATCCCTGTTGCACACTTAATAAACCTTTTTCGGTGCTTAATCTTGCAGCGGCTCACGGTGGTTCCTACGGAACTAGTTCGGATAGATAACTGAGACAAGTTATTCAGTGTGGAAAAAACCACTGACACGCCGGCTGTGTGGCCTATTTTCTTGAGTTTATGCGAGATACCATGCAAATACGGTATCACCAGCACCCTCTTGGGAGTTGCTTCTTGTAAAGTGTCCCAATCGTTAGCTACTTTTGACTGTCTGCGCAGCTTCTCACAAATAGAAACTAGCAACGAACCGGTATAGCCCCCTGCCTCTAGACGGAGAATCTGCCCGTCGAAACTTCTCTGCACTGAGTGGAAGCAAGATTTCGTTAAAGTGTCATGTGTACATGCTTTTACAATTCCATGCTTTACCAGTTTGCTGTGAGAAGACGCGTACGGCAAAAGGGGTTTCTTCCCCCGTGGCTTATACGTCCAACAAACGTGTCCAGATGAAAACGTTAGTATTAAATCTAAAAACCTCTGGGAACCATTTTCTGGCAGCTCATGTGTGAGAGAAAGTGGTTCAAGGCATTCCTGGAACACTTGCAAGACTTGCTGAAAGCTCTTATGAAGGACATCAAGATTGCAATCAAACAAAATCAAGAAATCATCGTCAAACCAGAAGCACTTACTAACATTCATCTGTGCCAACCGTTTATGAATCATTCTATTCAAACGAGCTAGATACAAATCGCTTAACACTGGGGCGATGCATGAGCCAATACACATGCCTGTTTTTTGCAGAAAAACTTCACCATTCCACTCTGCAAAGGTAGAAGGAAGGCAAAGCTTCAGCACATCCAGGAAGCCAGAAAAAGAAACACCACACTCATTTTAGAACACGATAGCACCAAATTAAAAAATCGCCTTTTCAGTGACATCAACAAGTGGTTTTTGAGGGAGACAATAATAGAGATTCTTTATGTCGATGAAAACGTGTTGACGGAGGTAACCGACAATCTGCGAAGAATTGTTCACTAAAAAAGAGTCATTGATGCGCAACAGCTTTAGGTAACTTTGAAGCCAAGAGGCAACACACTTCTGGCATGTGTCCCGTTCAGAGATTATTACATGAAAGGGCATATAAATTTTATGCGTCTTTGCAGAAAAAAACAAATTCTGCGCCAATCTTTCTTCATCATTTTCACTGGTATAGCGCACCACGACAAGGACACACACAAAGGAGAGATGCACACACACACACAGCGCTAACTTGCAACTAATGTTTTATTTGCGATCACACACGCTGTTTATACAACAGTAGACCGATAAAACCTAGGAGTTTTTCTTTTCGACGGCGAATTTTGGTCCTAGGGATATCGTTGTCCTGACGTAGTCTGGAAAACTTATTCCATCTTCAACGTATATCTTTCCTGCAGAGCGCTCCAGGGGACGCCTTCTCTGGCGCCGAAGAAGAAGCAGCTCTTGTTTCCATCTGCTCTCTAAAGCGTGGTCGATCAGCTTTGTCCATTAGTGCCGTTTTCTCACCCTTGCACGTTTGTTAGACGTATAAGCCACGGGGGAAGAAACCCCTTTTGCCGTACGCGCCTTCTTACAGCAAACTGTTAAAGCGTGGAATTGTAAAAGCATGTACACATAACACTTTAACGAAATTTTCCTTCCACTCAGTGCAGAGAAGTTTCAACAGGCAGATCCTTCATCTAGTGGCAGCGGGCTATCCCACTTCGTTGCTAGTTTCTGTTTGTGAGAAGTTGGGCAGACAGTCAAGAGTAGCTAACGATGGGGGCGCTTTACAAGAAGCAACTCCCAAGAAGGTGGCGGTGATATCGTATCTGCATGGTATCTCGTATAAACTCAAGGAAATAGGCCAAAGACCGGGCGTGTCAGTAGTTTTTTTCCACACCGAATAAATTGTCTCAATTATCTGTCCGAACTAGTCCGGTAGGAACCACCGGGAGCAGCTGCAAGGTTAAGTACCGAAAAAAGTTTGTTGAGTGTGCAACAGGGATTGTTTATGGTGTACCTCTGTCTTGTGGACTTTAGTACGTAGGTCAGTCAGGCAGGTGCCTTAATGTAAAACTCCAGGAACATTGCCAGAAAGTAAGAAGTGCAGGACGGGACGATTTCTTGGCTGCTCATTGTTCCGAATGTGGGTACCAGCCATTGTTAGAAAAGACAAGGGTTCTCGCATCCCACCCTAACAAAGGCACCAGACTTGTAATCGAAGCTGCAGCAATCGGTCGAGGCAGCTGCATCAGCAAACCATTAATAGCGTTATCTGAAAAAGAATTGGCGTTTTTAAATTTGGAACGTGAGTGTCCGTGGTGAGCACGTGGTTTCTTGCAGTCTCTTTTGACTTTTTGGTTTAGTGTTTTTTGTTTTTGTGTTTTTTTGGTTTCTGCTTAAGTAAGTGATCTTATCGTCTGTTTTGTAACATATATATGTTTTTCATAGTAGTAATAAATTAGTTGAAAGTCTGCGCTCATCCTCGTCTCTTGTGTTAGTTGTCGGAAATTCTTGCGCTGACAAGTTTATTAACCACTTTTTAAGCTTGAATCGCTGTTCATGTTCTTAAAATATAAACTCAATTTTCACTCCATATTCCGAGGTGATTCGTAGCACGACCTCTGTCGAAGCTGCGGGGGTCGCATTAAAGACAGGACATGTTTTGCTGGCTTTAGGCTCAAGGGCATGCATTGACGAGGCATTCGTGCTAATTTCATATCTCCTGAATCTGGTTTTATCATCACGAACACTGTCTTTTATTTCCGCTACACACATTTCGCATCACTTCCATGATTTGAATACTTGTATGTTTTAACCCTCCTTGGTGCGCAGAATTCAAGGCCTCCTAATAGACATGTAACAGTATCATAGTTCATATCCTATACATATCTCATCAAATTATGCACTATTGTTCTTTTTATCATCATTGTCCATGGTGCTCTTTGGCCATGTATGGTTCTCGCACCATTAAAACCCATATAATATTATCATCATCAGATTACGTGAAGTTCCTTTGTTTGCACTACATGTCTTGCTTTATATTTATGCCTGAGCGGGCTGCCTTTGTTTTTTTTTGCTCCATTTTGTCATTACACATTTCGTGTGCCTGTTGTGAATAACAAGTTGCGTTAGTTCTTTGCTTTATATTGTCTACATTATAAACTGTTTTCTCTCGAAAGTTCTGCGCATTATTTTTTATTGCAACCCCACTTTGCAACGACTCCACCAGATGTTCGCAGTATTGTTAAATAAATAAACACTGCTGTACAAGAAACGACACAGATGATGCCGTACAGGTTGGCCTACCAAAGGACCCTGGCAACGATGCCCGTCGCCATGTTACCCAACATCACCGCAGAAAACGTCGACATGACTGTCTACCTTCAGCGTGCCAAAGAAGTTCAACAATTTGTCCACCTTCGTATCAAGAACTAACAGACTGACAGCCGGCAATACAATATTCGACAATGCTTTGCCGAATACCAGCCTGGTGACCGTGTTTGGGTGCGGACGCAGATACACTGATGTGTACTCAGTAAAAAACTTCTACTTGAGACCATGAAGGGTAGTTCGACGTCTTGGCCCATTCGACTACGAAGTGGTAACCGACAGCTTGACTAGCTCTCAACTGTGCTGTGCGCAACTTGAAGTTATTCATGTCATGCACCTTACTGCACGGTTTCGCGCACCTTACTGAACCAAAGGACTATTCTGTAAATTTAAAAAAATGTTTTTTGTTGTTGCTCTATTAGCCCCGAGAAGTTAGTGTAACGCCACCTAGCTAATGGCCTGGGTGACGTTGCTGCATGGACTTTCTTGATGTCCTCTGCAGCCGGCCTAAGTAATGATGTGCTTGCTTTGTGCGCTGGTCTGCTATTTTTGCGTTCGGTTTCTGCTTGTCTCAAGCTGCAGATGAATCACAAAAACAGAATCGGTGGTGTTCGTGGTGAAACAATAAAAAGATTACTTTTCATTATTTGTGGCCCAATGCTGATGCTGTACATTCATAATGTTAACCACGCTAACACGGTAACGCTAAATCTGAAAATTAGTGTGTGTACAGTAAACGCTATGGGTCGTTTCTTGTACTGAGCATGTGCATTTCTGTCCTGCTATTCCACTGAGCTTGCTGACCAGTAACTGTGTGATGTCAAGACTCTGAAATGCATGCGAAGATAGCAAGAAGGACTTGGCAGCTGGCAAAACACTGTCATGCTTTAAAAGCATTGAAATGCGAGGACTGTGAAGCGTCCATACTAAAGACTGTGCAGTCATGTGTAGGCTGTGGAGTGCTGTCCAGATTGTGTCCGTTTCCTGCCTACTTCAAGGAGATGGGTTATTTGTGTATTCTGGGTGATGTGTTGTGCGCATTGTCGCTCGAAAGGACAGGCCTCCCGAATGTTGATGTTTGACCAGGGGCTGTATTTTGAGGCAGCTAATTTCTGTGCACGCGGATTCTCTGGCTGGTTGAGGAAAGTAATCATCCATGGTGAATACATTGCTGCAATTCTCAGACTATAGCTCCTTGCCATAGGTGTAGTTGGTCTGGCCATCATTTCTTGTTCTCCAGTCACATGCATCAGCGCTGGGCAGTATCAGAGGTACCACCTTACTGTATGGGTCATGTAAGGGTCTATGTGTCGGAGACGCCACAGTACTTCTGAAAAAGAACTAACATCAGCACATGTTGATACTTTATACGTTTATGTATTTGAAACTCTTATGGAAAAGAGGGGCTAAATGTGACTAGATCTTTTCTGTGTATTCCAGTCTTCTAACCTCTTCTTTTGTTCAATGTTTCTTGCAGCTGGTTCTTTGGACCCATGTCTCGGCAGGAGGCGTCAGACCTGCTGATGGCTGAGAACGAAGTGGGCGTCTTCTTGGTCCGTAACAGTACCACCATATCAGGCGACCTGGTGCTCTGTGTTCGGTTAGTGCTTCATTTTTCATGACTTGAAGTGCCTTTGTCACTTGTGGCGCTGGTTTTTGTGCCATGCATGCCTTCCAACTCCCTTCCAATCTTATGGAAGTTTTCCAGATACCTACTCATTTCTTTAAATCTACATGCCCACGTTGCGACTCTGCTCTGTCTCCTCTGCAGGCAAGGATGTCCAATTTGATCTTGTGCCAACTGATTCCATTTTATGCTGTCTCAATTTTTTCTGATTTACTTTCTACCCACCTTGGCTTTCTTTCCTATTTGACGCAAAGATTACTAAATGAACAAGATATAGTAAAAGAACAAGGCCCATAGTCTTGCACTTTTTGAGCCTTTCATTTGCCACCACTGCCCTGTGATTTTATGTATTCTTTTGTAACAGCATTTATAGCATTTGTTCTACTTGTTGCGCTGTTTTTTATTTCGCTCTTGGAAGTAAAGCATGTGTACATTTTTCAAACCTTCTTTTACCTTCTGAAAGAGGTGAAAAAACAGTTACCATTTTTGTAGTGACCATGATCTTATTGATGACATTGCCCCCTTCCCCCTCCATTGAATACCCTGAAAAGGGTCTTTAAGGGTCAGTAAATGATGATGATAATGGTGGTGAAAGCAGAGACAGCAATAAATACATCTTCATTTAGTTGCTGCAAGACCAATGATTTTTTTTTTTTTTTTCGGGTTTGGATCCTGCCCACGGCAAGTTATCTTTTCACCGACTTTTCTTCATATTGACACGTGCGGTTCTTTTGGTTTACGAAGAAAGCCGCTATCACTTTCCAGTGACACGCGCGCTCGTTGTGATTGTTTGCGAGGAGCATTGTTATCACTTTCTGTTAAGCGCAACGCAGGCCGCGTTTATCTTGCATGCCACTCTGGAACCGTGTGGATCATTCTTGAAACTTTGCATGCTTGACGCGCACATTTTAGTAACTTCTGGAGCTCCAGAAATAAATCGAGAACGCGATATGATGCGTGTATAAAAAGCCGGCGCAGTGCGCCACTAGCCAGTCTTTTCCCGTCGACCGACGACTGTTCACGCCGCTGTTGCTGTGAGTTGTGTTTGGCCTTGTTTTGCTGGGCACAAGTTCGCCCAATAAACAGTTCGCCCGACATCGCCCTGACTCCTGTGTGCTTCCTCTCAAGTGCTGCGTGTGTCACAACCGCGTGACATCTGGTGGAGGTGCTTCTCGGTCCATGTACCGTACGCCCCCGTCCAGCCGTGAGCCAAGCCCAAGCCGCCAAGAGGACGACGCCGACCCGGTCGTTCGAGTGAGCCGAAGACAACAAGGACTACCGCCCGAATACCTGCCGCTTCCCGACAAGGACAAGAAAACAAAGGCTGCTACGAAGCCGGCATCCACGATGACGGAAGCAAGGTCTTCGGCAACCGTGGTCGTCAACCAGCCCAGAGAGCCGCCTACCTTCCGCGGATCGACCTACGAAGACCCGGAAAGCTGGCTTGACATTTACGACCGCGTCGCAGCCCTCAATAAGTGGGACCCGGACGACAAGCTGCGTCATGTGTATTTTCACCTGAAAGACGCCACAGGGACTTGGTTCGAGAACCGCGAGTCAACACTTCGAACCTGGGACGACTTCCGCGTTGCTTTCCTGCGCACCTTTGCAAGCGTCGTGCGGAAGGAAAGAGCCGCATCACTGCTTGAAACTCGGGTGCAGCTCCCCAACGAAAACGTAACGATCTTCACGGAGGAGATGACGCGACTTTTCCGCCACGCCGACATGTCTGAGGACAAGAAGGTTCGCCTGCTTATGCGAGGAGTGAAGCAGGAGCTCTTCGTCGGACTGATTAGAAACCCGCCAAAGACGGTACAAGAATTCCTCTCCGAGGCTACCATCATCGAGAAGACTCTTGAAATGCGGACCCGCCAATACGATCGGCGCATGTCGCCAGACGTCCGAGGACTCTGCCCCGACGACCTGCGCGAGACCATACGCGCTATTGTTCGTGAAGAACTGCGCCGCACGTTGCCATCGTCTCAGCCCCAAGTCGCCTCTCTCGAAGACGTAGTCCGCGAGGAACTACAGCGCTCACTGAGCGTTCCTGAACGGCCACAGCCCCAACCGGAGGCGATGACCTACGCCGCTACTGCACCTGTCGCCGCTCCTCGCCAACGCCAGGACCCAACGTCTCCGCAGTTTCGTCGCCAACCACCGCCGCCACCCCCGACGCCTTCCCGCTCGCCAGTAATCCAGCGCTCGCCGAGGAAAACTGACGTTTGGCGCACCCCGAACCACCGCCCACTATGCTACCACTGCGGCGAAGCCGGGCACACCTACCGCTACTGCCAGTACCGTGAGATGGGACTGCGTGGCTTCGACGGGAACGCGCCGCGTCCGCGCCCAGGTGAGCGACCTCGCGACATCGCCGACTACATCGCCGGATCGCAGTGGCAACGACGACGACCATCCCGTTCACCTTCGCCTGGCCGCTACGCCTCTCCGGATCGCCGCCAGTACACCGGCCCTAACCGGGGCCGATCCCCAAGCCCCTACCCGGGAAACTAAAGGCAGCAACCGATGGAGGTACGGTTGCTGCACGACGCAATGCCGAAGATCCTCCTCCACCGCCGCCGCCGCTGCCGATGACGACGACCACAACGCACGAGCTTTCCCGACGTAGTCGCAGCACGCCGCCTGAGCAGAGTCTTCACGACAGAGCCTCGCCGCCGACGCGACATAGCAGCGCCGGACCAAGCCGTCGCAGCCGTGATCCAACGCCCCGACCAAACCGGAACGCCAGACGACGAACCACCGACCTCGACGTGATCATCGACGGCCACAGCGTCACCGCCCTAGTCGATACCGGCGCCGACTACTCTGTCATCAGTGGTCTCTTCGCCGCTAAGCTAAAGAAGGTAAAGACTGCATGGGAAGGACCGGATATCCGAACAGCAGGGGGCCACCTTATAACACCGACTGGAACCTGCACGGCAAGAGTCACGATTCACAGCCAGACGTATTCTGTGAGTTTTGTGGTCCTGCAGCAATGCTCGCGAGACGTCATTTTAGGCATGGATTTCCTGGACCAGCAAGGCGCAGTCATCGACCTAAGATCCAGGTCAATCACGCTGTCCACGGATAATGCAACGGCGTCAGACTGCAACGTCGCTCACAATGCCTTGAATGTAACAGAAGAGCAGGTAACCATCCCGCCACTGTCGAGCGTCATCATTTCCGTCGGCACCAAAGCGTCTACCAACTTACAAGGTGTCATCGAAGGCGACCAGCACCTGCTCCTAGACCGTCAGATGTGCGTCGCAAGAGGCATAGCCAAGCTTCATAACGGCGAAGCCAAGGTAATGGTGACGAGCTTCAGCAACGAATATAGGCACTTGAATAGGGGCACGACAGTAGCACATCTAAGCGAATTTGTGGAAACGAGCAATGCCTTCGCCCTCACCGATTCTCAGGGAGCCGCAACGTCGACAGCAGTTTCCGCGCCCGCCTTCGACGTAAGTCAAGGCCTTTCCAGGCAGCAACAAAAGGAGCTCAAAGCCTTACTCCACCAATACAAGGACTGCTTCTCGTCGTCATCGAGGCTTCGTCAGACCCCTCTCGCGAAACATCGCATCATAACCGACGAATATGCCCGTCCGCTCCGTCAGAGCCCCTACCGAGTTTCTGCACGGGAACGCGAGGCCATCAAGCAACAAGTCGACGAAATGCTGCGTGACGACATCATTCAGCCGTCTACGAGCCCGTGGGCATCACCCGTGGTGTTAGTGAGGAAGAAGGGCGGAACCCTACGTTTTTGCGTCGATTATCGTCGCCTGAACAAGATCACGAAGAAAGACGTGTATCCCCTCCCACGAGTAGACGATGCTCAGGACAGACTCTAAAACGCCAAGTATTTTTCGTCGATGGACCTCAAAACCGGCTACTGGCAAATCGAAGTAGACGAGAGAGACCGAGAGAAGACTGCCTTCATAACACCAGACGGCCTGTTCGAGTTTAAGGTCATGCCCTTTGGTCTTTGCTCGGCGCCCGCGACGTTCCAACGGGTTATGGACACAGTACTCGCAGGCTTGAAGTGGCAGACTTGCCTCGTCTACTTGGACGACGTAGTCGTATTTTCTTCCAACTTCGACGAGCACCTCCGGCGCCTTGAAGCTGTTCTTCGGGTAATCAAAGCCTCGGGACTTACCCTGAAGCCAGAAAAGTGCCGCTTCGCCTACGAGGAGCTATTGTTCCTTGGCCACGTTATCAGCAAGTCGGGAGTGCTCCCTGATCCACAGAAAACAGCTGCGATCGCCGACTTTCCTGCACCCACCGACAAGAAAGCAGTACGCCGATTTCTTGGCCTCTGCGCTTATTACAGGCGCTTCGTGAACAACTTTTCGCGGATCGCCGAGCCGCTGACGTACCTCACGAAGGCCGACGTCGACTTCAAATGGGAAACGCCGCAAGTTGAGGCATTTCAAGAATTAAAGCGACGCCTGCAAACGCCGCCAATACTGGCGCACTTCGACGAAGAAGCTGACACCGAAATTCACACGGACGCAAGCAGCACAGGGCTCGGCGCCGTGCTCGTGTAGAGGACCGACGAACTTGAAAGGGTCATCAGTTACGCTAGCCGGTCACTTTCGAAGGCAGAAGCCAATTATTCCACGACAGAAAAGGAATGCCTTGCCATCATCTGGGCTACATCAAAGTTCCGCCCCTACCTGTACGGCAGGCCTTTCAAAGTCGTGAGTTGCCACCACGCCTTGTGTTGGCTAGCTAACTTGAAGGATCCATCAGGGCGCCTCGCACGGTGGAGTCTCAGACTACAAGAATTTGACATCACCGTCGTCTACAAGAGCGGACGAAAGCACTCCGACGCCGACTGCTTGTCTCGCGCCCCTGTCGATCCGCCGCCCCAGGATGACCGGGACGACGACTCTTTCCTGGGACCCATAAGTACCGACGACTTCGCGGAACGCCAACGAGCTGACCCAGAGCTCAAGATCCTCATGGACTACCTGCAA